ACTAGGCCTGAAGCTGGCTGATATTCTCCAGCAGAGACTGTGGATGGGCAGAGGGTGCATCAATGGAGCCAAAAATGCATCACCAGCACAAGTAACCGTTCCTGGCATCTGGTAGCTATCAACTACAGTAGTGAAAAATTTCCTGGTGAGGTGAAACTAGCCTGAGAAGAAATGCAGCAACGATTGGCAGAAAGCATTCGGATAAAGGCTTTGCATGCTGAATAAATTCAAACATTCATTCATAATGTCTTCCTTCCTGCTGTTATAGACTCTAAGGCCCATGAACAGAGGAGAAAGACACACTTTGCACACAAGTTATGAAAACAGTGGGAGAGTCAGTAAGGCACAGAGATACGGGTGCTATGTGTCCAGATAAAGAAGAGAGAGAGCACAACGTTTGCACTGTATGAGGAGACAAGTCCATGAAGATTCTCTGGGTCCATGGACACACATACTACTGGATCTGATTTTCAGTCCAAGACTGGCTATTAAAAATAAAGCCAACTCATCCCTTTCCTGCAGAGATCGCTACCTGTTGTAGGCATGTTCATTACTTTTCTCTTTTACCCGAGTAGTTGAGCAACTAGACGTGTTTACCCTTTCAGACTCATGAACCCAATATGTTTTCTGGAAGAGAGGAAAATGAATGTCATTCAACTACAGGGCCTGTGCACAATCACATGACAAAGCAATATCACCGCCTAGCAACCACAATCATTAACATCGTCACCTCTTGGCACCATCTTCTCTTCAGCACTCCCTGCTCCCCTGCAGAGAACACATTGAGCCACAGATGAACAGTGTCAAAACTGGAAGGCCACAAATCCTATTCTAAAACCGCCTAGGACAAGACCACAAGAACTTCCCACAGAAATACACCACTGTTGTGAAAAATGAGGCACTTTCTCTTCTATCTTAAACAATGCCAAGTGATAGCCCATTGGGCTATTCTGGATAGTCAACTGGCTGATGAATACAGCCCCCAGTTTACAAAATGCCAGACCTACCATGATAATACAGCACCGACTAGTCTCACTAATTGAAACCTATTTGAACAAGTCTCTGTTTGTGGGTGAATGTTCCAGATTTGAGGGTTCCTTGTCATTGAGAGGTCTAGCCAAGGGCAGCTTCTTGAGATGGTAGGTCAGTCCAACCCAAGTGGACTTGAAGAGTTGCTATTTTTGCTCATCCTGTAATTCTCCTAATTCCATGTTTAGATTCCGTTTCTTCTTCACCTCACACATCAATTGTTGCACTGAATGACAATCTGCGGCAAGGCGAGCTATGTGAAACTTGCATGGTTTGGTTCATAAAGGGGCTTCTTCTCCCCACCCTCACCCCTGCCACAAGCTGCCATTGCAGGAGTTGGAAGTGAATCTACTAGGCTGGGAGGTTGTGGGGTTCATGTAATTTATTATTCTGTTGTTTGCACCGTTCTAAAGCTATGGAGCCTGCATGTTAGAGGCAATCTGTCTCATTCTCTAGTCCTTCTGGCCTACACAATGTTATTTGTGGAGCCAACCGGTGTGTCTACATAGCAAAGTTATTTTGTAATAATGGCCATTATTCCAAAATAACTATGAAAGCATCTACACAGCATTTCCGTTATTTCGAAATAATTTTGAAATAATGGGTGGCTTATTTCGACTTCTGTAAACCTCATTCTATGAAGAATAATGCCTATTCCGAAATAGCTTCTTCAAAATAAGGCATGTATAAATGCTCCACTTCTGCCGTTTTGAAATAGCCCCTCACCAGGGCCAGTCCAAGTTATTCCTCCGGGGACTCTAAATCGAGAGAGAACGTCTACATTAGGGAAGCTTCCCTCAGAGTAATTTTGAGACTTCCCTGCAGTGTAGATGTGCTACTTCAAAATAAGCTTTTTCAGAATAACTATTCTGGAATACCTTATTCCAAAAGAACTGTGCAGTGTAGATGTAGCTTTTATGAGTGACCACACCCACCTCTTATTTCTTATTCAAATTGTACTTTCTAGAGGAACACGTTTTGTTGTTTCCTTTTTGGAAATATTTACACTTGCAGGAGGGACTGAGGTTTATGTTTTGTTTCTTGTTTCCCCTCTCCTCCACTCCATTTACCACTTGACTTTTCTCCATTCCTTTTTGGAATCGGAGCACTTAATACTCCAGGCATGCTGTTCATGATAAAACCCTGATCGCAAATAACTTTCCACGTTGCTCTTCCCAGCTCTAAGTTTCTCTTAAAAAGAGGCCAGGTACTTTTCTGCAGCTGCATGTCTGTTTGAAACATAGGAGTCTGCTGAAGGATAATTTATCATCTTTTAATTAAATCACAGAGGTTAGATATGGAAAAAAAAAACATTAGGTCACCTCGTCCATCTCCCTGCCAGTGCAGAATTGTTGTATATTTTATATTACATCAAGGATGGTTGTAAATGTCCCAAGACATAGGCTTCCATCTCTCCCTTTAAACAGAATGTCACAGTCCAAAAGGTATGTCATAACCAGCAAGACTTTCCTGACATTCATCTTAAAGTTTTCCTCTCATCTGACCTAATCCAAAGCCCAGTGAGGTCAAAGGAAGGACTCTGACTTCAGTAGGCTTTGGATCTGGCTCTTAATTCCTTCAGTCCAACTACTACTAGCTATCTTCCCAGGTACTAACCTCAATACCTCTCTCTCCCTTGTGTTTACACCGTTCAAGTATTTGCAGATTTAACACACTCCCCCACAGTGGTCTTAGATAAGCTGTATATAATAAATTTCCCCTCTAGTTCCCCATTAATTTTTGTAGCTGTTCTGAATTCCCTCTGGTTTGTCTGTCTTTCGGATGATGAGGTACCAACAACTAAATGTGCTATTTCAAGTTCTCCTGCACCAAAAGCCTCACAGAGAGGGGGTTACGACACCTTTGCGTATTCAGCCGTAGAGGTTTAATTTACATCATATTGTAAGCTCATCTTTGATTTGGCATCATCGCTACTTCTAATTCCTATTCAGAATTGTTGTTTTCCAAGATTTCCATATCCCATTAATGTTGCGATTTGGATTATTCTCCACCTCAAAGATGCATTAGCTCATAATTTTTCCAATATGAATCACATTTTATTTTCTGCCCAGCTTTCTAATCATCCAATACAAAGTTCTCTGGGTAGTTTATTTCTGTTCTCCTTGATATTTGCAATGTACATGTGATACCAGTGATAGTCTTCTCTTGTGTTAAGGTTAGTGAAAAGAATTTTTCCATTACTCTATTCACTTCAGGGATATTTAAGGATTTGTGAGAGACACGTAGTTGAGATTAAAATTGCTCATCTGGAAATATACGTTCAAAGCAGAAGTGTAGGAAACATGAGAAGGATAGCAGGTTAATGAGCAAGAGTAAAAAGGGAGAAATGTAGCTTACCTATTTGTGTGACTACAGGAAAAATAAGACCAAAAGGTTTCAACACCCAGTCGAGCAGTATAATTCATAGTACACTAATCACAACACACACACACAACTAATTCAGAAACCATTTCAGACAATGTTACCAAATAATGGAATTCCACTTTCCAGCTGTTCTTCTGTGATGCAAACAGTTTAGCAATTCACTCCCAGAAACGCTGTTTCCCCCCCCAATCTCTCAGTTTTGGGCAATGACCCTCTCTAGAGTAAAGATTATTCCTCATATTTTGTTTCCTGTTCTATTCATAATAGTCTCAACACAAGTCAAAAGTACATAATCTCTTTTAATTAGCTTAAAATACTTGACTCTTTCCAGAGGAGTAACCATGGTCATCTAATTTTTAAAAATAATGAGCAGTCCTGTGGCACTGGGGTGGAGCTAGTGAATAAGCATAAGTTATTTACTTGTTCCCATAAGATAAGAACTAGGGGTCACCATATGAAATGAATAGGTGACAGGTTTAAAACAAACAAAAGGAAGTACTTCGTCACCCAATGCACAGTCAACCTGTGGAACTCCTTGCCAGAGGATGTTGTGAAGGTCAGGAATTTAACAGGCTTCAGAAAAGAACTAGATAAATTCATGGAAGACAGGTCCTTAATGGCTATTAGCCAGGATGGATAGGAATGGTGTCCCTAGCCTCTGTTTGTCAGAGGCTGGGAATGGGTGACAGGTGGGATTGCTTGGCGATTGCCTATTCTGTTCATTCCCTATAGAGGCACCTAGCATTGGCCATTGTTGGATGACCGGATACTGGGTTAGATGGCACTTCGGTCTGACCGAGTATGGTCGTTCTTTGTGTATTAGTCTCTAAGGTACGACTGTACTACTTGTTGTTTTTACTATCTCCAGATGGTCATGTTCCCCTCCGTTCTATTTCCTAGGTACACTGATTTTTTGCTTTACCATCTCTTACCTACTAACTTAACTAACTCCGCTCTTTTTGTTTCTGGACTAATAACGTTGGACTCCGCTATAGGGTAGACTAGCTTGTTCCAGTAATGCGCTCATGAAACTGCCCAGAAGGAATAATTTTATGTATGTTGCAAATTGTCCAAACTATTATCATTGCAACGTACTAAGCTTATTTAAACATTCATGTAGTACTGCTCAGGAAGATATGTTCACATGGGTAACTTTCAGTTAGTTCCAGGTCAGTGCATGCTGTAGATACTTGCTTCAAGCAAAAAGGCTGTTGTGATAGGGCATTTGCCCTGCATTGGCCCTTTAAGGGCAAAAACCCAGCCCTGGGAGAGGGCTGAGAGTGAAGCCCCTGGGGAGGAAGTTATTGCTAATTAGGGCCTGGCTGGGGGCTATATAAAGAAGGGCTCCTGGAGGGAGAGAGGAGGACTTACTCTTGATCTGGCTGAAGAGCAGGAGGGATCTGGCTGCCTGGGAAGCAGGCAGAGCTCGGGGAGCGCTAGTCAGGCAAGCTCCCAGGCTGCAAGGCCTGAAGCAAGGCTTAAGGCTACTAGGGCTGCAGAGAGCCAGCCAGGGTAGGTAAAGGCAGCAGGTCCCCACCCCCTTGCCAATGATGAGTGGCCATTACAGACTGCAGTTGGGCTAGATGAAGACTTGGCAGTTGGTCACTGAGGCAAGGAGGGTACAGGGGAACTGGGTGTTCCCTGGGAGGGTAGGACCCCGGAGTACAGAGCCTGCTAGCCCCCTACCCCCTCTTCCCTGGGAGGGGGCCAAGAGTCACTGGAGTGGGCACTGCTGGACGGCAGTGGCCTGAAGAGGGCGCCGCGGTCCCAAAGTGCCGTGGGTCTGGAGCTGAGACGGGGAGACGCTGGCCAGAAGGAGGTGTTCGGTGAGCAGGTGTGAGTTAATTCCCAGTGCGACTGGCAGGAGGCGCCATGGTGGTGAGTCCGCCCGTGGCAGCCATTTTTTTGTATAATAAAAATATGCATTCTTATAATACGGTGTCAGCCCGTGTACGTTGCACGGCATTCAACCGTTTAGAAATGTGCCCAATGTGTCAGAGCCGCTATTTGATTGCAAACAATGAAATATGAACATGTCAGTTCTGGGTTAAGAAGTGTGTGGTAAATCATTTCCAGCATGACAGCAGTGTGAATTGAAAAGCCTGCTGTGGCATACCCATTGTGGGGAGAGGCCCGTGCTATTTGAAAGAGATGACTGCTAAATAGCCTCTCTCCTATTTACAGGGATGGGATAGAGTAAGCTCATGGGAGCAACCAGTAACAAATTGAAGGAAGAGCTGGAATGATTTCTCTCTCTTAAATAGAGCTCAAATTCTCCCTGGATCCTGCTAAACCATCTCTTATTCCTTGGGCTTATAAAAGTGCAATTTTATTTTATTTTATTTTATTTTATTTTATTTTTTTGGAGGGGAGCAGATTGCACAAAGAATTGCAAGATCTTAATTTTTGTTTTCCTCCAGGGCCTTGTGGATCCCTGGCAGGTCTTCATCCACTCTATCTCCAAGTAAACTCCTTAAGTAGAATGCTATATTGCACTCTGAGTGTAGCCTTCAGGAACACATTGTAAATCTTTCCAGCAAGTAAACTCAATAGAGATTGAAAACTGGTGAGTCAGATGGTGTTCCGGCCTCCCTACTTAGTCACGGTGGTATTGTTCTTTAAATGAAGTTTTCAAATAAAAGCTTCACTTATTCTGTCAGGCTATGTCTAGACTACAGGATTTTTTCGAAAAAAGTGGCATTTTTTTTTTTAAAAACCTCACCTGCATCTAGACTGCCGCCATGTTCTTTCGAAATTAAATTGAAAGAACGCGGCGGGGTTTTTTGACAGTGGTAAATCTCATTTTACGAGGAAGAATGACTTTTTTCAAAAGAGCTCTTTGGGGAAAAAAGGGGTTCTTGACCACAAACAGATTGCCTGGGTGCTCTCTTTCAAAAAAGCAGATTGCTTTTTTGAAAAAGTTGTGGCTGTCTAGATGATCTCTTTTGAAAGAAGCCTGTAGTCTAGATGTACTCTCATTGTCCTTTCTGAGACACTGGATTGTTTTTGGTTGTTTCGTTTGTTAGGGTTTTTTTTGCCTTCCTTTGCAGTCTAGGTCACTTGCAGGTTTATGGGATGGATTCTCTGTAACATGAATTCTCTAAACGAGTGATGGGCAACCTAGACTAATGAGTGGGACCTCATATATGTATAACTGGCCCTTCTTCATTTCAGTGGGTTGCAAGATTGTCGTAACCAAGACAATCTCCCGGGACAATCTCTGCGCTTGCATATCTAGAAGGTGCAAGATGTCCCGATTGAATTGTGGCAAGACTTTGACTGGATGCAGAGAGAGAGTGCAAGGCTCTCATGGTCGGTGTTGTGTGCACATACCTTACTTCATGTGCCCTTGGTTTATGAGGGTGTTGCTTAAATAATTGGACCAAAAACAATGCGGCTGGAAACCAGTGGAATCTGGCAACCCTGCACAAAGGGGCACTGTATTAAAAAAAAAAAAAAGGCTTGTGGGCCACACAGAACCTGATGGGCCACGTGTGGCCTGCAGGCCGCAGGTTGCCCACCACTGCTCTCAGCCATGATTGGAGGACCTCAGTGACTCAGCCAGAGGTTAGGGCTCTATTGTAAGAGTGGTGAGCTGGAGGGCAGATGAGTTGATCATGATAGTTGCTTCTGATCTTAAAATCTATGAATCCCTGGTGGGTGTGTTTGTGTGTGTGTGTGTGTGGGGGGGTATCACTATTTGGGAGTGGGGATTTGTTAGCATCTTTATTAAAAATTCATTAGCAGTACATAAAATCAAAGAAACGTAGGAACTGAAGCAAAACCAAGTAAACCTGGGTTATTCCAGACAGGTTTTTGTCCAACCATTTCTTGTAAACCTCCAATGACAGAAATTCAACAACCATGAGTGGTGTGTGTAAGAGGCTTGGGGAAGTTAAGCCTCCCCAAAAGAAGTTGGCTATGCAGGAGGGCAAAGATTATGCATATGACACCGGTCACCCCCTCTTCAGAGCACACCGTCTCTGGAATTGGAAGCAAAGCTCCCTAAAAATGGGGAGGGGGGGCGTAACTGTGTATATTTAAACCTACTTAGTCTTGAAGACATTAGAAAAGGTCAGGAGCAAAAGCTTTTGAGCAAACTTCTGAGAAATCTGCGTTCCATCCAGATTAGAACTATCCAAAAATGCCCCCTTGCTTTGGTATTGCAGAGGGTTTTCTGCTTCTGGCTCTAGCCCCAAACCAGCAAATGGAAACTTGCATGGAGCATATGGAAGGAAAATGTGAATTTTGTCTTTTCAGATGCCAAAAAGTGGTGTCATTCAAGATGGAAATGAAGGGAATGGACAATCTTTATTTTATTTGGCTTTGATCATCTATTACTTGTTAGCAATAAAGACATCTTTCAAACATAGCTAAAATGCTTAGCTTTCATCTCCCTTCATATCCTGCAACCAAACCAAACCCAATTTGGCCATACTTAAGGTCCTACATTCTACAGCTCATGTCAGGCACTCAATTTTTCATGCTGCTCAGCACACAAAAAAATGTATCTTTTATTGTTCATTGTATCCGTTTTAAAATTAAAGTTACATTTTCATTGTAGCTAGGTCCTTCCACTTACTAAAAATCATTGATTAATCTCATCCTGCCTTTTACATTATCAATACTCTAAGGAGCATATTTAAAAAGAGTTAATTTTAATCCATTTAAGAAGCTATTGGAGGATAATTCAATTGCTGGCTAATGAAGGCTGTCATTTAATTAATAAGGATGGACAAATTTGACTGATGGAAGGGAGCCCAAGGATAGTCCATGATAACAATTCTACCTTTCCAAGTTGTGCTGTTTGGATACTGATGGGCTTTAAAAGTATTCACGTGCATTAGTGGCAGTCCTATGGAGAACAAAATCAAATGCACAATTCAATCTAAGGCTTGATCTACACTTAAAAGTTAAGTCGGCCTAGCAATGCAAGTCCAGGTGTTGGGAGGGGAGAACCCTGAACAAGGTAGTTAGGTTGACACAGTTCCCAATATATGTTCTGTTTATAAGAAGCACACAGGATCTTTTTAGGGGCCAAGGCAAGATGCCATACTTAAATATCAAAGCGGCTACCATATGCTTCATAAGGACAAGCCCCTCCCCCCACGCGCACACACAGGTCTTGCAGATGGTGCATAGCTACCAGTCTGTCATGGCTCAAGTCCGTCTTGTTGGCCAGGCAGGCTGCCTGAGTAAGGAGTCGGGGTTCCTCTGGGGCTTGGCTTGCAGGACCAAACCCAGACACTTATGGCAAGAGTCCCCCTTCTTATACATGGACATTCCCATGTGAGTCGATGGGTTTTGCAGTGTCATGCTGCAGTTCTTGATATGTTAATTTTGGTCTTTCCTCACAGTTATCCTTCCATGTGTATGGTCAGGCTTTGTTCTCTCTTGTTTATGGTCTCATCTTCGGGAGTGTCTGCCCGTCTCCAGGTCTCAGCTATTCTGTTAATTTCTTCAGCCTTCATCTAGCCTCTGGCACTGTGGATGTTCTCTCATCAAGTTTTCTTGACCATATGGACCTTCCTGATGACTCTTACACATTCTCCACTTACACCAAACAATGGACAGAACATTCCAGCAAAGGATGGCTTAGATACTAGAAGACACAACTTAGTTTACAATGCAGACATGGTCTAGTCATAAGAAACAGGGTGAAATACAATCATACAGAATTTACAAGCAAATCATTATACATCAAACTTACATTCTTATAGCAGTACTAAAATATTACATTTTTGCTACATATAGGTGCAGCTATGTCAACAAGAGAATGCATCCATTGATGTAGCTGCCATTATTTAGGCTGTTGGTATTCCTACACAGAAAGAATACCCCTTTCTGTTGGTGTTGGCTGTATCAGCATTTCAGGGTTATGCTGGCATAGTTATGGTAAGGAAGCTAAGCTGGTGTAGTTGCCATAGTATAGACTTCACCAAAACAAGAGAACAGTCGTGTACCATAAAGAGTGAAACGTATGTGCCATATTTATTTTGGCTCCCTTGCTTCACATTCATAGGATGATTACTCAGACTAACTAACTTGGAACTTAGGGCTAAAGAGGCCAAAATCCTTGCATTAGCATCTGGTCAACTAAGTGGGCTGAAGACTGGGCAAATTCTATGGAGTTGCTCTGCAGCCATTCTTTGTACCTAGTTGGTGCAGCATCTGCAGCCCTAATAACGCTTTTGGATGAAGGGAGGATTCTAGTACCCTCATAACCATGGTGATGTCAGTTGTATGCACTCTGAGGCCAGGTCTACACTTGGCCTGGAAGGTCAGCTTAAGGTACGCAATGTAAAATATGTGCTGGAGTTAGCTTACCTTAAGTCAAGCTTTGCACTGTTTTTGTAGTGGGAGGATGACTGGAGCAAACGCTCCTATTGGCTTTCCTTACTCCTCATGACTTCAAGGAGTACCAGCACCAGCCAGAGCTGCCCTCAGTGTTCCATTTAGCAGGTCTTAACTAGACCCACTAAATCGAATGCCAGAAGAGTGATCCCTAGGGTGACAAGTGGAGATGTGGTCTGAGCCTCCCTTTTGCAAACTCCCCTATCTTGTAATACTCAGGCCATGTCTTCACTTGCCACACTGGAGATGGATCTTCTGGCATTCAATTTAGCAGGTCTAGTTAAGACTCGCTGAATTGAACACTGAAGGCAGCTCTGGTCAGTGCTGGTACCCTTTGCAGTTGCGAGGAGTAAGGGAAGCTGATAGGAGCATTTGCTCCTATTGGCCTCCCACTGTAATGACGGCACCAAGCTTGGCTTAAGATAAGCTGACTCCAGCTACGTATTTTATGTAGTTGGAGTTGCATATTTTAAACTGACCTAGTGTAGACCTGGCCTCAGAGAGCTCCTGGAGCCATGCTTCACACCAATGAATCTTCCTAAAGCCCCTGGTCTGCCCAAATTCACTGCAGAGCTAACAGAGGGCTCATGTCCCACGTTAGCCCGTCCCCAAAACAAGGTTTTAGTCGGACTTGCAATGCTGCCTAGACTCCCTCTGCTCAGGTCTGATTTTTAGCCTGTATAATCGTAGTGAAAATATCCATCTCATTTCCTAACTAGTTTCACAATAAGCTTTCCCTGAATTAAACATTGTATTGGACTGTTGTGTTTCACGAGTTGTATTGTGTGATGATTAAAGCTCTCCTGGGGAACAGAAATGTGTTAGGACAGTCATATTTTTGTCAGAAAAACCTATAGTTAATGCTGATGCTTTGTGTAGCCTTTATTGTTTTGTTAGGTTTAACTGTAGTAGTACTATATTTCAATTATATTCGTACCCAGGCATATCAGCTTTGGGGATCTTAAACATTCACTTGTGATTATTTAAAATTACACTATTCCCTGAATTGTAATGATATTCTAGTCATGAGAAGCATCCCCATAATTATTGGATTGGGATACCATCTAGTTCTGGAGCTCAGGGTATTATCACTGTAGAAAAGCAAGGCCGTTATTTCACTCACCCACTTTGTTCTTTTTCAATTTGCTTATTATTTCACCTGAACAAAACAAAATAAAGCCATGAAATCAGTCCCTGAACGTACATGTCCTCCATGCAAAACTCCACTTGAAGTCAGAACAGCTGACTGATCAGTAGATTCTCACGGAAGATAGAGCAAGCTGCCAAGGACTGTAACAGAGGAAAGATGCTACATCAGAGAAACAGGAGTTGACCACTTAGCACCTCTGGAAAAATTGGTCCCTAATTCATTATGGCAGTAATTAGATATGGTAAATATTATTCCCCACTTATGGCTGGAGAAAAACCGAGGTAGATTATGTGATTTGCCTGAAGTCACAGAACGAGTCACCCTCAGAGCGAAGATATCTCAATTCCCATTTCCGTAGTGTAGCTACTAGACTTTGCTGCATCCCTGTACGTTATATTTGCATGTTTTACTGATTATTATATATATGGAATACTGTCAATTTATTCTTCATCCTGTACAGGAACATGTCAACTTCATCCATCAAGACTTCTTTGACTTCCTACACATGTGACATTCCTGGTAAGCATTGGTCAGAACATATATGAGCTGCAAACTGCCCCAGAGCAAGATCTGGAGGAGAATTCCCATAGTGAAGATTCATCTCCAGATTCTATTCTATAATACTTAAGAGATAGCTGGAACCCCAGATGACTGAACTGGAAAACAAACTGAAACAAGCCTTGACTCTGATACTTGGAAGTTCTGTTCTAGACATGTCAAAGAGCTCTTACATGGCGATGTTGGAGTGATGGAGTTTTAGTGCATCTCCAAGATGTTTATTTGGTCCATAATACATATTAAGTGAACGAAACATAGTTGCCCTAAATGCAAAATGTAGTCTAAGTTTTTTACATGACGCAGTTTTGTTGCCCAATTTAGTTCTAGATTGTGTTCAGAGGCAGTATCAAATTACTGTAGGACTTCTGCTTGAAGAAATCCAAATCTTGCTGTCTGTCTCTGGAGGTTACGTAAGGGTGCGTCTACAATGCACCATAACTCAAAATAAGATATGCAATTTGAGCTACACAAATTATGTAGCTTATTTCAAGTGAATTTCGAAATGGCTTATTTTGTAATTTGGCGTTGTCTACACAGCACCAAATTTCAAAATAAAGCGCAATTCCGAAATGTCCCTTACTCTTCATAGAATTAGGTTTACAGAGATGTTGGAATAGTGAGCCTGAAATAACGGGCTTGCTGTGAAGACGCGGGATAGCTATTTTGGGATACTCTGGTATCCTGAAATAGCGCTGCAGTGTCGATGTAGCCAAAGAGATGATGGAAGAAGACCCTAAGGTTTGCCAGGACAAATTATAGTCAAGTTCACATAATACTTTTTGGGTGCCTTTAATAATAATACCTAGCTATTAACACTTGCATTTTTATAAAGAAGGTCAACATCTTCCATTTCTGGGCAACTGTAGTGGGGTGGAGAGGCCGCCCACTGACCCAGAGGGGGAGGAGCCCCTCTCAGAGCCTTGGTGGGCAGCACCTGGCCTTAGCGACCCACCTGACCGGAAGCCAGGGGGCAGGGCCAGGAATATAAAAGGCCTGCCAGAGAGCCCAGCAACCGAAGGAGCCAGAAGCTTCCCCTGTGCACCCAAACAGAAGCTAGACCCAGGGGAAACCAAAGACTGAACTGGGTCGCCAGGTCTACTGCTTGGAAGGTCTGCTTACCTGGCCAGGGGTTCCAGCGTGATGGAGCCCAGAGGACCCGCACGGGACCCAGGCACAGCCCGAGGGGGAGAGCGGAAAGAGCCCAGGGATAGCCGATCACCGTTTAGCTGGACCAGCGCCTGGTCAGCGTGTTGCAGTATGGGTCCCCACTGACCCAGCAGCAGACTGCTCTGCTGCTCCTAGGGCCCTGGGCTGGGATGCAGTGGAGTGGGTGGGCCTGTGTCCCCCCTGCCACTCCACTCCTGGATGGCAGTCCCCCCCCTTGGCTGTTCCAGGACCGCAGCCCGCATCTGCCAGACCCCTGCCTTAGCAAGAGGATCCGGACAGGTCCTCCTATTCAGACGGTTTCTGAGTTTGTTTGCCGCCGCGTTCTGAACCAAGGACCTGGGCACAGAACAGTGTGTTGCCACCTTGCCCTGAACGAGGGTTTGGGTTCAGAACTGTTTGTCCGCCGCCTCAACGACTGGGACTTGAGAACTGTCTCTCTGTCTACTTGAACCGGGACTCAGAACTGTGTGTTTGCCGCCCCGCCCTGAACTAAGGGTCTGGGGACAGGCCTACTTACCTGCTGCCGGCCTGAGTCAGGGTCAGGCCTGAGCACTGCTGGCCGCTGACAGCTGAGACTGTGGACTGCCCCCGAGCCGAAAAGCCACAGCGAATTCCCCAAAGAGTCTAAGCAGGGTGTAGTGGGGCGGAGTGGCTGCCCACTGACACAGTGGGGGAGGAGCCCCTCCCCGAGTTCCACTTGGCTGCAGCAACGAAATAAGACACCCTTATAGAACCCTACTTTTAGAAAGGGCCGAGCATCTGCCCCCTGGAAAAAAAAATCAAGTCCTCCTCAAGGTGCTAGGTTGAGTGCTCAAAAATGGAAGCACCCCAAATCTCTAGTCACAGCAATATTTTGGCCCACAGCTTCATTTCTCTGTGCTTTTGCCTCTCGAATGCAATGAAGCTCAGTACATTTTCAAGCAGCGGGGATACTCACATTGGACTTTGGGCCCCTTAGCAAATTCTTCACCTAGGGATAAGTCCTAACGTGGTGGCCAAGGGCAGTGGATCCAGCACATGATCCCAGCATGGACGCGTCTCCCAATTACCATTGGTCACACGTTGGTCGTGTGTGTGGGGAATGGCCAAATGAAGAATGTCCCCTCTTAATGGATTATAGTGTTTTCACCAAAAATCACTATATACCACTACAGGCAGTCCCCGAGTTACGCGGGTCCGACTTATGTTACGAACGGGACTTTTCTCGCCCCGGAGGACGTGAGCGGCGGGATGCCCAGATGCACCGTGGTATTGGTCACACGTTGGTCGTGTGTGTGGGGAATGGCCAAATGAAGAATGTCCCCTCTTAATGGATTATAGTGTTTTCACCAAAAATCACTATATACCACTACAGGCAGTCCCCGAGTTACGCGGGTCCGACTTATGTTACGAACGGGACTTTTCTCGCCCCGGAGGACGTGAGCGGCGGGATGCCCAGATGCACCGTGGTCCCACTGCCTGTGTCCTCCGGGGCGAGAAAAGCTGCTCCGCGTC